TGCCCACTCAGGGTCCTGGGCTCAGATGCTGTGAAGACTTTGGCTATAACACTGAGGGAGCTGAGGAGCCATTGAAGGTTAGAGATGCAGTGCAGCATGGTTTGACTTGGGATTGATGGATCACCCTAACTATTGTTATTGAGAATAGAGTGAGAACTAATGGGAAAAGCAGAATATGAGACAGAAATTTCTTAAAACAATGCAGAAGAAAAATGATTGTGACTGAGACCAAGAAGGAGTTGGTAGAGAGAAGGTGAAATGGGTAAGATTGGTAATGTACTGCTTAACAGTGAATGGGCAAAGAGAGAGGGAGAATGAGGTGAACACTAAGTCTGACTAAGTAACAGGAGGGCTGGCATTAGCCTGAACTGAGCTGCTAAGACTGCATGAGGCTTGAACAGGCTGTTTGGGAGCTTTCTGTTAGATAGTTGAGTGGGGTCACACGGACGTGGTTGGATATATGAGTTGAGAGTTCAAGGGTGGGATCTGGGCTGGAGATAAATGTAGGAGTCACTGCATGAGACTGGATTAGCTCACCAAGGAAGTAAAGACGGAAAAGAGAACCCAGAGGTTCAAGGAGCAAGCAACAGAGGAACATGGGATAGAGCAGAACCTGGACAGTGCCACGTCCAGAGAAAACAAGTCTGGCCAAGAGAAACCAACTAGGCCAGATGCTGCTGAAGCATCCAGGAGAGCACTAGGCTCCCATCAGCATATGAACAAAAAATCGATGACTCAGAAGAGAGTCATGGGGTGGGGTGGGGTGAGGTGGGGGTGGAAGCAGAGGCAGGTTAGAATTGGTCCCAGCAAGGTGAAGGTGATGAGGGCTAAGAAGAGCAGGTGCAAAAAGGAGTGCCAAGGAGTCTTGTAAGGCAAGCAGAGAAGTGCTGGATGACCAGAAACAAAAATGAGTGGAACATATCTTAAGTCCTGAGGAGTAACAGGTTGCCTGTGTTTTTAGGGAAACAGATGATTTATTATTGAAGGAAGAGCATGATTTAGTAGAGGCATGAAATTTGTGGGACTTGCCCTTGAATAAGAGAGGGGTAATGAGGTGAAGCACAAATGGGAAATGACACACGGGGCATGGAGACCTCCCACCCCAGGGACAAAGAGAGGGTGCACAGTACAGGGGGTGGTAGGTGGGGAGTGAGAGCTTTGAAGGTCTCTCATTTTCTCAGTGATAGGAATCTTAGTCATCAGCTGACACTGAGGATGGAGGGAGAGTAGTGTTTACAGAGAGGCGAGTGTGACTGGGAGAGCAAATGGATGAAGAAAAAATGGAGTATGACTTCTAGGCAGAAAGAAGAGCCCACTGGTGTTCTGTTTTTATGAATTTAGGATGAGCCCATGCAGCATGGCTGAATCCAGCCACAGTTCCTCCCTGGGTAGAGAGGGGATGGGGAGAGACAGAGTAATGGCCAAGTAAGTGCCTGGAGAGAGAGCAAGTTGGGTGCACTGGGGTGTGATGCAAGGACTGCTTATATAATTCAACACTGGCTGGGAAGGAGGGAAGAAGTGACAGCAAGTGAGGAAGAAATTAGGTGAGTAAAATGGCTTACAGGTTTTGATGAAGGATTGTTGAACTAGGACTCCTAGAAAATTTATCAGGAAAGGTAGAAGATGGTAAGAGGAGACGGTGTTTGAAACTGTGATTATGGAGAGGATGCAATCAATGGTAAGGACAAGAGTTAAACTGGTGCTTCTCAAACGTCAATGCATGCAGTTCTTGTGAGGATGCACACTTCCAGTCTGCATTTCTGTCCAATTCCCAAGGTGAAGGTGATGTTGTTGAAAGACAATTTGGGAAGATTAAAAACTACTTACCTCTTTAGATCATGCAATCAAAATCCCTTTGGGTGAGATTTAGGTTCTCTGGGTTGAATTCAGAATTATCACTATTAATGTTCTCCAAGTCATTCAACGTGAGGCTAGGGTTGGAGACCTCGGCCCAGAATTGTGACCTCAGGGTCCAAGACCACTCTGGGGGTGGGGAGGGCCTGCACCTGAGGGCTGAAATACTGGAAGTGTCATCTTTTTGGTTATTAAGCAGAAATTGTACTGGATAAAGTGACTGTAAGCCTGCAGATAACTACAAACAGTGTGGAAATGGCATGGTATCTGATGGCATGGAATTGAAAGCAAAGATGTTGAGAGAATGGTCTGGAGTAGACGGTGTGCAAAATAAAGAACAAATTAAAAGAGAGATAATAGAAAACCAGGGGATTTTTGCAAGTAGGAAGAGATGGGGAGAGCAAGGAGGAAGGGGAGACAAAGGGGATGCCAAGAGAATTGAGATGTGTTATGTACGTGTGCCAGCTCCCCCTGATGAATGTGGTCACTATGTACTGTAAACATGTACTCATAAAAATAAATATGAAAAAAGAAAAACCAAGAACACTTGAACCTGAGCCCCAGGCCATGTAAATGAATCATCTACTACTTGAGGAGGACTCCAGAAAAAATTCTGGCACTAAATAGAGCTAGGTTTACTAGGGAAAAGGTGAAGTAAATAATCTAGAAAGAGGTTGCAATTCTGGAGGATGTTGCTGGATTCCTAGCAGCAAGGATGGATTTCAAGATGCGGCAGTGAGAATGGGCAGCCCAGCCAGGGATCAGAGTGTGGGAGGCAGGGGCAGGCTCCCCAGAGGGAGGAGTATCAAGGCAGAGGTCATGGTACTCCCCAACACTAGTGAGAGACAGCCAGATAAAGTGTGACACTGCATGTGAAACCCAAAGATCATATGTGCAGCAGTCTTTGTGTCTCTAAAGCTTTTGTCCAGCATGCTCATTGAACTCTCCTCCATGTAATAAACTTTTTAAATAAACAAGTGGTTTGTAATATCCCTTGAGATTTCTTTATGTCAATTGTGATGAGGATTACAACAATGTCGTTAAACTAATATCAGTTACAGAGAAACCGTCATTTTGAGCAGCCGTGATTTAAGTAGGATTCTCCAGAAGCAAATCATGAGCTGAGTCTTGAACGCAATAGCCTTCTAAGGAAGTGTTCCCAGGACAGCTTGGAAAGCTGGCAGAGCAAACAGGAGAGGAAGGAGAAGCCGAGTCATAGTGTAAATGCAGGCAAAGTGCCAAGGACAGAGCTTCACCTTGCCCCCCACAGGGGAGCCCTGGGAAGTAAGAACCCAGGTTCTGACCCAAGCAGACAGAAGTGTATTTCTGCACCCAGGGGTCAGTGGCTTAATAGAGTTGTTAATAGGGCATTGTGAACTGCAAGGTATTTCCAGGATGAGAGAACCCCAGAGTCTGAAGGTTGGCTGCAAAGAAGAGTAGCAGGCATGACTATTTGAGAAATAAGCATGTTGAGCACAAACAAATAGAAAGGATCTAACACCAACTGACGGGAGTCCAGTGGTGCCTTCTAGATGTGGAAAGTTTTCTTTAGGGTGGCACCATAGATAAGCTAGGTAAAGATTCAATTGGGAGAATATGAGTCTCAAGTTTCAGTTATAGTCAAGGCAATTTCTGACAGTATACCTCTTGCTTCCTTCCAGGAAGGTTATATTGTCACCCTTAGGGCCAGACTTTGAGAAAATCCAGGTCAGAGGAATGTGTAGTTGCTATTTGAAAATAAAGTGCATCTTGCAAAAATCCATTCTCTTTCCCAGTGCCCTGAGTGCAAATATCAAGAATGTTTATTTTTAAATTTACATCATTACAAACAGTTGCTTTAATCCACCTCCCCATCCATTTCTGTATTTTCAGATTGTGGTTGCTTTTTGTTTTTCCCTTTATACATTGGGCTGTCTCTGAAGGATTAGAGGAGCATTATTTGAGAGTCCCTGCATTAGTCAAAATTTAAAGCTGTGCTATGTCAGACCCACCGACAGATTTAGAGATTAATTTCTAGACCTCTTGCAGTGCTGGAGAAGCTCTTTAAGATTTTGAAAATGGCAAAAATATTGACTCCCTATGACTAAAGGTTACTTGTATCCATAACCACTCTAAATCAAAAGGAAAGTTTAAGAGTGGTAAATATCAATGTTGTTTTGCTTTATGGGGAAAAAAACTGTATAGGAAGAAAGAAAGAAAAACTTTGTCTGGATAAAAAATATAGTTTACTGTCCAGAAGGACAGCTTGTCCAGTTATATTTCCCTCCTTTTATTTAGCAAAGACAATATCATTATTGCTAAATTGATATCATTTGCATAAAAATCCAATAGTTCATTAGTTTTGAACAACAGTCTTGTCCTAGGTCATGTTCCCCAAAGCAACCATGAGGCCAAGATTTGCAGATAGGGGAGACAGAGAGAGAGACAGAGAGAGAGACACACAGAGAGAGTCACAGAGAGGGAGAGAGAGGAGGGGGGAATATTTGTATATTGAGGGAGATTGGAGTTTGATTTACACAGTATTTGGATTATATTGAGGGTTGGTAGAAAACCTTTTTTCCCAAATATTTTGGCTTAGATGCATCTCCAGATATGTGTTTTGCTACGTTTTAAAGCCTGTGCATTTTCAGGGAAATTTAATCCATATGTTGCAGTGAGGCAACATGTAAATCATAGTCATCCAAATGTTTTTTTATTAGAGCTCCATGATGTCTGAAATGCCTTTTGAGCTTTTTTTTATAGCCCTTATATCCTTTTCTGAAAAGCAGCAGGTAAGTTGCCAAGAGTAAACAAATCAAATAGCAAAAGATTTGAGATCAGTTTGAAATGGTTGGCCCATTATTTTTGATTGGGTTCTGAACTTGGCAGTGCATATTCCCTGTTCCTGCCCACAGGGCAAAATGAAAACAATTTCCACACTGTATTTCCCAATTGGTTCATTGACATTTGAGAATAATGTAGTACAGACAGAATTGGCATGTTTGGCAGGTGAGTGATACTTCACATGACCTCATAAAGTCACTTCCCCTGTTTTGCAGAAGTTCAGAGCGTGGATAATGTTACACAGATTCCATAGCACAAATTAAACAAGCTGCCGTCGAGGGAGACTCACAGGGAATTTACTTAGGTTTCTTGTGCATCTTTAGGTAGAATGGCTGAAAAATGAAGACATAATTGATCCTGTTGAAGATCGGAATTTTTATATTACTATCGACCACAACCTCATCATAAAGCAGGCCCGCCTCTCAGACACCGCGAATTACACCTGTGTTGCCAAGAACATTGTTGCTAAGAGGAGAAGCACGACCGCCACTGTCATAGTCTATGGTAAGTGAGCACGGAATCTCAATCCAGTTCACCTCACACTGCAGTTTCTTCTTGGTATCAGTTTTAGTGTTGATTTAATTTTAGAATTTCAAGTTAGAGGCCCCTTTTCAAAGCTCGCTGCTGCTCCTAACAGTGTCCCATAGAGTCAGTGAGGCTGTTTATGCCAAAGGTTGCAATTTTTTACATTTTTGCATGAAATTTATATATGTTACCTAGAAAAATTCAGGAAACAGGAATTTGAAGAGAAAAAGATGTTTTATGTTCCACTGTTTGTGGTGTTCCATAAATGGAATGCTAGGCATAAATGGGTTAACTGTGTCCCCAACCCACCCAAGGAAGACCAAGCTTAGAAATCCCTAGCCCTGTCCCTCAGCTTCTAGAAAAGTGGAGGCAGCCACCAAGGGCCTGCTGCTTCCGAGGCCCTCATCTCTGCTCTGCTCTGCTCTGCACTGCCGAGATCCAGGTTGAGTGCTCTAGAGACGCAGGTGCTTGAGGCAGCCTGCTGATGTTTCTGTGGACAGGGTTTGGCACAGTGGTGATGAGACCTCCAGAACTCTGGAGCTCCCCTGTTCCCAGACACACAGAACAACTTGACCTCGGTAGAATATGCTTTGCATCAGAGGCAGCCAGAGCTGATGGAAGGATGTCCATGGTCAGGTCACTCTCAGCTTCACAGCACAGCAAAGTCATATGCAAGGGCTTATCCAGGAAGTCCCTCCCACTCTCCCTCCTCATCTTCCTCATCTCCACAGCTGTCCTTGCTGCTCAAATGCCAGCCAGTTGCATGTGGAGGGGCCCGTATGCTTATCTCTCTCTGTGCAGGTCAGCAGTCAGTGTCCTGGTCATTTTATAGATGGTTCCCCCTCCTTGCCTAACTTTATACCCTTTTATAGACTGAGACACCAGGCCACATACTTATACTTATACCAGGCCATGTACTTATATCACAGTGTTAGAAGTATAAAGGTCCTTACAGGGTTGATGACTAATAGTCACAGAGAAAACGGCGCCACCTCAAGAAGGGGTGGAGGTGGTGGCCCCTCCAGAATGGCAGGTCCAGGCCTCTCCATCGCCAAGGGCATGGTGGAGCCTGGCAGCCCTGCTTATGGTAAGCAGTGCTCACAGGCCTTGGGCTCTGATAGGCTGTGCGGGAGGGACACGCACCAGTGACTCTCTGGCTCGTTACTCATTGTGGGTACTGGAAGGAGTTCAGAATAATGGAACCCCAAAATATGCTATTCTGGCTTACTGACTTTTTTTTTTTGAGTTACATCACTTGAAAAACAGTATGTATAAGACCACTCTGGCCTTTCTTCTTTTTCTTAAAAGCAAAAAACAGACTCTCATATGAAAGATGCCTCCCATATACTAGAAGGAAAACAACATTCTTATTGTTAAGGATAGGAAGTTGAGATCAAATGAATGCTGAACAGATCTTATTAAAATAACTCTTAATCTTTCAGCCTTATCACATAATTTAGTTACATTCTCAAAACTTACACTTTTGGTCTAATTCAGCACAAAAGTGTTAAGTTCCAAAGCCATCTTTAGATGATCATTTCTTTATGAAGATTCCTATGCCATGTAAAACTTATATTAAATAAATTTAAACACTTTTCTCCTCCACATCTCTTTTATGCTAGTTTAATTTTAGGTCAAGCTGATAGAACTCTGGAACTGTACAGATTAAAATTTTCCCTTTCTTTCAGTAACATCCCAGTGAATGTGTGCTTATGATGTAAGGAGTTATGAGAACAGAAACCATTATGATATTCTGAGCCTGAATATAGTGATGTTTTTAAATTGCCATTTTAATTACAGGACAGATGCATACATTCTTTTTAATCCCATGATTACTGTGCGATTTAATTTCCTAGCCCAGATAATGGCTATGTTGAATTGTAAGCAATTGTGTGTCTTCAATCACAATAAAATGTTTCCTACTTTTTATCTTTATCTAAACTGCCTGAAGGACGTGATTAATGGTATTTGAAATGCAAAGTAGAAATGGGCCCAATCATAGAGTGTACCACTCATAAATAACTAATGCAGGCAGACTATATATAGATGTATTATATAGATATTTAATATACATGCAAATCTTTTCCTAAGTATAGCATGCTCTCAGTATCCACAAATGTAGTGATACATTGTCTTTAGGAAAGATCAAATGCAAGTAACTGAAGCATTCACAGCTAAGGCTAAGGACTAAGGGTCAGAAATCTTGTGCTCTAGGACTAGGGGTTCCATTAACTGACCTTTCAAAGCCAAGATTCTCTGAGCCCTTGTCACCTTTTCTGTAAAACAAAGAGATAAGCCTAGGATCTGCAAATACATTTGTGTCTCTAAAAGTTTCTGGTTATTTATTTTTCATTAAAGTTGTAGCAGAGCAGTGCATTGATTCTATAACCCCAAAATACCAACTTGACAGTATGCTAGCAAGAAGTTCATACTGACAATTTCATGACATTTTGAATTTTATAAAGTCGAATAGGTTAAGTTGCTTTTTAAAACACTAACTGAAACCCTCCGCATCAACCATCTGCTTGTGTTTTTTATGACTTTGTAAAATAAATTGTCCATGGCTCATAGGTTGGTCTTACCCAAATTCCATAGGAAAGCATACATCCAGCCAGCATGTCTTATTTTGAGTCTGTTTTACATACATTCTTTGTTAGTATCATTTTAGACCACAAATATGCATCCACTAGAGAAGCACAGAAAAGGCCTAAGAAGAAAACAGCTACAAGTATTATAATCCTATCATCTAGAGCTAATATTTTTTAAATAATTAATATTTGTACCATGGATATTTTCTGTGCATAGATAGGATTTGAAAAATAAGATATATTTTTATTTAAAATATAACATGAAAATACTTAAGCATTATTAAATGGCATTCTGTAATATCATTTCAATGGCTTCTTTAGAAGAGTCCATCACATAAACTTACATAATTTCTTGTTTTTTACTATTACAGATGTTTTGAACTATTTATTTTTATTTTAAAAAATCTGATGTGGAAAATATCTTTGTCTGCCTGTATGAAAATATTCCTTAATGGATAGCTTTCTAGAAAGTAAGATGCTGGGCACATTATATGCACATAAGAGGTTTGTGTTACTTCAATGGCTAACAGCTTTGTTTACTATCAGGAGGCACATGCTTTTACTAGTTGTATCATCTTTTAACTACCAGCAAATAACTTTTGTTAGAAATTACTTCATTGAAATAATTGCATAGACTCACATTATTGAATTACTTTAAAAAAATATTTCAGGGCATTTTGTAGAGGGAGCTCTCCGGAGATGAATAGTACCAATAGTGTTAGGGTATAGGTTTTTTATCGCATGTGTACTGACAGCTCCATCAAATATTATAATTAGACTTTCCATACAAAATAGGTGTCCGTTTCAATATTCTCAATTAATTGCTATGTCAATCAAATTACTAGTCACTTTGTTTACAACTCCAACACTATAAGATTTTCCTTTGTAACTAGGTTCACTCATTAGTTTATGAAACTGATGAAGAATCCTTAAAAGGTGGTAAATCTTGCATGTGTTACGAAAAATATAACCATCATCATTTTTAAGAAGGCTAAGCAATTTTTAGTTAGTTCCCATGCTACAGATCCGCTTGCAGCTTTCCTTAGCTTAAGGATGTGAACATTTATTATTTGAGATAAGCTGTCAAAAGTAATTTTTAGAGCTTGACTATGTAAAGGGATATAAATATTTTTAAATAACATTAGCCAACAAAAAGAGAATGCAGTCTTACTTATTGCTCTGAGTGAGTAAATCTCTGTCCATAATTTTATTTATCTTTGTGTTTAGATTCTTCAGCTATATAATGGAACTTAGAAATGATACCCATGGTCTCTTGTAGCTTTGACATTTTAGGCTTTGTAATGGCCGCTGTGAGATGACTGTTTGTTTGTGTGTTGTGTGTAGTTTACGTGTTTGGGTGTGCATGCAGAGATGTTTAATCCACTTTCTGTGGCTCACCTCGTTTCAGTCAATGGTGGCTGGTCCACCTGGACAGAGTGGTCCGTGTGTAACAGCCGCTGTGGACGAGGGTATCAGAAGCGCACGAGGACCTGCACCAACCCAGCTCCACTCAACGGCGGTGCCTTCTGTGAAGGGCAAAGCGTGCAGAAAATAGCCTGTACTACTCTATGCCCAGGTAAGGAAACCAGGCCCTTTATTCCACATGTTTTCCACCCTGCTAGAAATAGGTTTTAGAAATAGATCAAAGGCCTTAACCTTGACTTATAAGTGTGATAAACAGTGTTTAAATCCACTCTATATTCAGTGTTTACATTGCTGAAAAATCAAGTAATTCCTCCAAAAGAATACTTAGCTTTGTTACCCAAACATGCAAAATAATATAAAACAGCAGTTACACACTCATGTACATAATCCTTCTGCAGTATTCAGTGGAACCGCTAAAGCCAAGATTGCAGATTCTATAATTCAGGGACTTGAACAGCATAGAAAACTACACATTTATCAATAGCATCTGATCTTCAGAAAACCACGGCATTTAATTGGAAATGAAATTTAGAAAATGTTTTATACTGTAATATTTGATATGTGGTGCCAGTTTCTGGGCAAGGGCAAATAAAACATTTGGAATGAATTAAAAGGAAGGCACAGCATTGTGACACATGGGATAATGGATTTTGAAAATACAGTGCAGTCGGCTCTTATTATCTGTGCACGGTGGCCATCTATTACGTGAGTCATGCAATAGTACCTGTGGTGAGATTGCATTCTTCTACCCCTGGGCATCTTTCTGCATGATTTTGTATTGCTGCCCACTCCTGTTCTTAGGTAAACTGAAATTAGTATTTGTCAAAACCTATTAAAATGTGTAGTCATGTAAATACCCTAATATTTAGTTAAAATTATTTTGAAATAGCCCGTGCATTTAGTGTGTTCATTGAGTAGGTATTTTGTTATCACATTAATTATTTAGATATACAGATTCCTTACTTCTCTTTACTTTGCCAAATTTTGTCCTCTTCATCCTTTCATAGAACCTTTGTAAGAAATGAGTTGAAATGGATAGAAAAATATAATCTGCATGTTACATTCCTAAGTGTGATATCCAAGTATCAGAATAGCCTCTCACACTGAACTCTTTCAGAGCCTTTATTTATGGAACGAATTTTGACACTTAGGCTTAGAATTTGAGATTTTTATCTTATACTATTCTATATTGTATCTAGATGCTGACTCTCAATTAAAATGCAATGATCAATTTGATTTGAAACATAAGCATGTCTGTGTGTGCACGCCCACTTGTGTGTGTGTGTGTGTGTGTGTGTTTCAGTATACTGAGGGTAAAAGCAAATGTACTACCTCAATATGTAGGACAAAGCAAATATCTTTGCTCCAGATACTTGGGAGTTGTTTGTACAGCAAGCTCTGTGTGATGGAAATAATAATGCTTTCCTCATTTTTTCGTATGCACATGTTTATATCTTCATGCACATTATGTATGATATATTCACACAGTAGCTAGGCTATAAAAACATGCAGATTTTCCAATTACATAATGTATTACAATTTATGTCACTATTGTCAGTATACATGTTTTAGATGTATATTAAATATTTGATGTTTGGCATTATTTTACATGGAATATAGATAATCATAATAATTTATGTGCTTCAGGGAGAGAAACAATTTTAAAACTTAGTTCAACATTTCTATCCCATTTCTATAAGAAACTTTAAAGAGATGCATGTTAAAGTATGGCAGTTGAATTTACTGTATTTGTTTTTCAAATTGGGATATAAGTTGCATTTTTAAAATATAGATATTTCAGCTCATTATCATTGGAATTACTTACAAACTATAAAAATAAGAAGAAAGTAACAATTCTAAGTGAATGGCTGGAAAAGTTAAGAACTTAGTTAAATATTATTTTTAGTAAATATAAATGGATATATCATCACAAAAAGGATGGAGTCATCAAATAATAAATGGAAAATAATATAATCATTTTAAGAAGACATCACAGAATGTTTCAGCAGAATGAAGCAGCCTGTATGTTAAAAGAAAATAAAGAGTATATAAATCATATACACAAGCTTAAATATAACCTAACTTTTCTTACATGAGAAACTCAAAGTATAAATACTAATTTACAAAATAAAATGAAGGATAGACAGTAGGGAACAGAAAGATCTTTTGCAAATGAGAAGGAGACCTAGAGATGGAGAGGAAAACAGAGGAGGGGAAGAGAAAGAAAATTTTTTAAAAATTAAGATGTGTAAAGTACATGTACGTAGGCCCTAAGATGAGTGAAGACATTATGTACTGCAAATATGTACTAATATAAAAAAGAGTATATAAGACAGGGCTGGGGATTTACCTCAGTGGTTCTGCCATCTGCCTCACAAGCGCAAGGTCCCAAGTTCAATCCCTGGTATCAAAAAAAAAAAGAGAGAGTATATAAGACATAGATGGAAAGGATATGAGATGAGAGAGCACAGTGTAAGAATAAGAGAGAGGAGAGAAAGGCTGGGTGGACTTCTTCCCCACAGTACCAACCTTTACTCCAAACTCCCGTACAAATTGACTTTCACTGTCCACATGAAACCGTGAACAAAGGAATCTTAGATCCATAAAGGGACCCTTCCTTTCTCAATACAAAATGTAGAACTTTCCCCTTGAAAAGAAAAATGGGCACCACCAGGAGCTAATTGTGCACAAGTCCTGAGCACAACTTTGTTTCCCCTGTGCTCCAGAAGCTTCCCTTGCCTGGCAGTGAGGAACTGGTGCGACCCACTCACTTCCCAGGGCAGAAAAGACTGTGAGGCTGCTAGGTGGGGCACTTTCTTCCACGGTTCACTTTGTCGCCTTGTCCTGAGCTCTGCATCCCTCACCCTTCATTAGCTGCTTCTCCCTGTGACCCGACTTTTCTGACTTTTTTTGTGGCAGTGGACGGCAGGTGGACCTCATGGAGCAAGTGGTCCACCTGTGGGACTGAGTGCACTCACTGGCGCCGGAGGGAGTGCACAGCGCCGGCCCCCAAGAATGGGGGCAAGGACTGCGATGGGCTAGTTCTGCAATCCAAGAACTGCACTGATGGACTCTGCATGCAGAGTAAGTGATCTTAGCAGCCACAGATGTGAAGGGGCCTGACAGTGAGCCATGTGGATGTCTTTGAAGGAAGTATAAGAAATTAAGAACTCTTTGAGCAATAATAAAACTGCAATCACACAGCAATATCCTAGCTTTCTCTCAAAACTGGATAAAACTAATCTCCCTGGAAACAGAATGATTAATAACTATGTCCAGCGAACAAATGACAGGCAGCCTGGCTTTCCCGTGAGCAAGCAGTAAGTTAGTCATTCTCTCCAGACCACCATATTATTACTCAGTTTTATTAGCATCTAGCAAAGAGCAAACTAAACTCCTCATGGAGTCAAAATGTGAGCTTCCAAAAAGTGAGCTGTTTATTTCCTAATTCATGGCTGGCACCAAACCAATGTTGTAAAACATACAAGGATGGCACATGTTTCTGCAGGTAGACTTACTAATCTATAATAACGATTTAATAAGAACATCTTCACAGCCCTTTGAGAGTAGTGGGTTTTTGTTACTAGTGAGAGTGTGGCTATGACTTAGTTAACTTACACAAATCTTATTAAGTTTTTTAAAAGAGTGCAAGAGATTAACTCAGGTATGCAGTGGATGCTATAAGCTAAGTAATCTCTGTTTTTCCTATCTTTGTTAGCGTCTATCTTCCTATCGAGAAAGTGACTTGACTTATATACTTGGAAAGTTTGTCAGATACAAACTTATATTTTATTGAGGATCTCTTCCATGTTCATAGTTTTTTGCCTCCTAGGAATTAAGATGATAAGAATTACCCTGAAATCATACCTGTGCAGGTAGAAGGACCAAGCACTGAATCACATTTGGGCCTGATCTTATGGTGGCCAAATGTTAACAGTTTTCATAATTCATTACAAATTGCCTGCAGAATACAAGCGACCAAGTGTGTTTGTGTAGAGATATTTGTATTTGTTATTTAAGAAAAAATATTTTGTTTTCACATATACAAAATTTTGTTTACCAGAGTCTATAAATACAAGGATCTTTAAAAAGAAATCTTACTTAAAATGCAAATAAGTAATGGTGTTGCTCGCAGTGAATAACTATCTGATAGGTCTCTTATTTGTATGTTTCCTGCACACAACAGTCTTTGAAAGTGGCCTGCTGCTGATGGCAGCATGCACTTCTGATTATGCGTGGACAGCTGCTGTGCATCTTACTAAGTTGGTACGAGAAGTGCAAGAATGAAAAGAGCACAGCTGTTTTGCTAACCATCTATCCAGAGATACAGGGATTGTTTCCCTAGGCAAGAGTTTGAATTGAGGACTAAAATAACAACATAAAAGTCACAAGTCATTTTTTTTTACCATTTGCTCATTTAGTATTTTTCCTTTTCTGAGGAACATACTGATTCATGTGATTGAAAAGTAGCAGTGTTTGAGGTTTTCTCTCTTTTATGCTGTGTACCTCTCTTGGTATAATAGTTCAACCTTGGATGATTTAATATCCACTCTTCCTACTATGCATATTTAAAAATTCTGAGAACAGGCTATTTAATAAGGAAAACAGTGCCATGGGTTGGAATTTTGGATCTTTTCCTGGTTGTACAAAATTACACTTTCTAAGCGATGACATTTGTCAAATACAAACCTGAACTATCCAAACTAAGACTTGCATTACATAGAATTCCTTAATACCTGGATAATTTCTTACAACATCAGTGTAGTACAGTGTTTCCTAATGGATGTTTGCTAGTAGTGATAGCCTGGAGTGTGTATATAAATAGGGAAGAAGAATGAGGCTACAAGAAGGGATTTTTGTTTGTTTTGCTTTGTTTATTTTCTATTAAGTCTTTTTTTAGACTGAAAAAATTTTGTGTGTGGATTAAGAATATTCAGTTAAAGAGCTAGTTATTTCTGCGGCTCTGATTTGCTACCTGCTAAGTTAATAAACTCTTTCATCTACCCTCTTATATCTACTGGAGTCCAACAAAGGGTAATAGTCTATACTACTATTGATCTCCTTTGTGGTGAGAACCATGGAGATATTGCTGTGCTGTGTAATTATAGTATTTTACAGTGAAAGCCATACTTTCTGTTTATCAGCAACCTTGGTGTTTCTGGCAGGGTACTGCTGCTATAGATTTGCAAAGAAATAATGTTACTTTGGCCCTGATTTTAGAAAACAAAAGGCTTTCTAAAGATGAAACTGAAAAGCTTACAAGAAGGACCAGGTCTGTATTAAGAAAAAGAAAAAGAGAAAAAAGGCAGCCAAAAAGTTGCAATTTGTATCATTTAGTATTAATTTACTTTAGAAGAATAAGTGTCTTGAATGTATTAATAAATAGTTCTTCAGCAATATTTTAATTTTATCTCAAAATAAAGCTTACCTATTACCATGAACCAAATGTGAAATACCATCTCTGAATCTACTGAAGTTCACATACAAATAATTTTGATAATAATGTATGTATGCTGCTATGAAAGAGAAATTCAAGTTCATAATGGATGTAAATAGGATTCAGAGACTCCTAGATCTTGTAGTACAGTATTTTTTTAAAAGCTAAGTTAATACTGAAGAGTAATACTGTATACAGTCCATAAAAAATATTGTTAATGTTTATTATTTTGTTAACAACAACCAAATTCAGATGCATTCCTTCCTTAACCACTTACCTTAATACAAAAACCTTTGGTTCAACGCATGTGGAGAAAATACAACTTAAAAAACACACGTGCACTCATGCTTGTACACACACACACAGGAAGGCAGGGAGAGAGGGAGCTCCTCAAGTGTCAGAGGTGCAGATGCAGCTCAGAGAGGAGGGACTATGCCAGCCACCATCACAACAGGGACAGGAAATGGGTCCCAGAGAGGAAGTGGGACTTGCTGCTGGGTACAGAGGCTCCGAGAAACCCAGGGCTGAGCCTGGGAAATAAGGACCTCGAATAAAGCTGTCACTCAGAAAGGACTGCACCACTGAGGATCAACTAGGACAGCTTTTGCCCACCAACTCTAGAAAGCCACAGGAATACCCATGCTAGGGAAACAGAAAATAAAGTTTTTACTTAAATAAAACCTATAGTAAAACCACAATTCTATGCCCCGCTGTGGTATGGCCTCTGTGATACAGTGCAGAGAGCAAAAAATAAAAGATGTGTAGTTAACATAACTGGTCAAACTTCTGAGGCACTGGCAGAGCAAAGAACAAACTATTCTGTAAGGTCTCCTATGTACCTAAATAATGTGGTCTATGATGAAAACAGCCCGCTCCTGAAAATGAGCTTACAATCCGAAGTTCTAGTTGCCCAGGAGAACTGTTCACCCTCAGAAAGAGTTGGCAGCATAATTAATGAGTTAGCATTGTACTAATGTGGACTCTTAGTGCAATCTGAATCAGACTACATAGTAAGCAAAAGTAAAAGTATTATACTTTAAAGGCAATATAAACACAATGAAAGTAGAATATTGTTAAAAGAATAGACATCTTTGGAAAAAAATCAGATAGAATGTCTAGAAATTTAAGTATGACTATTAAAATTTACAACTTAAAGGCTGGGGATTTAGCTCAGTGGTTCTGCTGCCTGCCTCGCAAGTGCAAGGACCTGAGTTTAATTCCCGGTACAAAAAAAAAAAAAAAAAAAGCCCATAAGAGCATCCCAACATAAGCAGAAAACAAGCATTTGACAAAATTTACAACTTAATAAAAGATTTAAAATGAGATCCAAAATAGCTATAGATAAGGCTGAAGAAAAATTTAGTAAACCAGAACGTTTATGTCATGAAACTTCCCACAACACAGAAAAGAATGATAAAGAGAATGATTGTGTAAAAGATGCAAGACACATAGAGCATAGAATGAAAAAATTCAACATTTACTACTCAAAAAAACAAAATTTTAAAAGGTTTCCCCATAATTGAGAGTGAATTTAATACTCACAAATCCTCACTGAGTAAATTCCCAGAAGTCTAAAAGAAGAATTGATTCTTTAAAATAGAGACAAAACTAGTTACAGCAGTGGACAGGGCACATCCATAGTCTCAGTTCCTGGAGAGGCTGATGTAGGTGGATCAGTCCAGTAGTTCAAGACCAGCATGGACAACATAGCAAAACCCTGTTCAAACAAGCAAACCAAAACAAACAAAAAATGAAGAACAACTGAGGAGCAGCTGAAAATAAGATAGAGTTAAATTGTAGCCATTATTAACATGGAACGTGGAAAAGTGTGAACCAAAGTAGAATTTTCCAATTTCCATATATTGTTCTGGAAAAGAATAGTAATACTATTTGCATTAGACTAAACTGATTCAAACATCTGATAAATTGTTTAAGACTGAATACAAATATAAAACTTGACTGAATAAATTCAAAATAATTTTTTAGGGCTAGAAAGAAGCAAAGAAGAAACACAACTCATGGTAAATGTAAACAAAAATTAAGATACTAGAAATAAATAAATATATATATATATCAGGGACCATAAAGTAAATGAATTAATGCATCTATAAAGGAAACTAAAAATTATAGGAAAAACACTGTTTTATTATTATTAGACTGAATTCATAATTACAGAGAAAGATTAAGAATTAATAAATGGAATTTGCAATCTTCATTTTAAAATGTCTAGTTAGTGGTCTTGACTATGTGATTGAACTGTTCTTTTCAATTCCATTTCCTATTGTAAGTACATAACATGTATCAGACAGTTTTTGTGCTTAGTCTAATTTATGGACTTATTGTTATACTTGATAGTTTCCAGAGTGTTTAATTTTCACTGAATAATTGGTTAAAAGATTTTAAAATTATTTGCTAGCCTATGCATGATCTTGTAAGACATCTTAGAAATCTTTCTTAATATAATGCTAATTGAAATTTTTCATCTGAAGACTTTGAGGATCACTTATAGAATTATTTAATATTTTTTAAATGTAATACTGTTAAATGTTTAAAAACATAGCTGAATGGAAACTCTCATAATTTTAAATGTTAAAAAAATATAGTTAAGTAGAAACTTGTGTTTTGCTAGTGGGAATACAGAGTTTTT